CAGGCAGGCTCGGCCCGGGGTGTGGGGGTTGAGGCGGGAAGGGGGCTCTCGGCGCCCACACGCGGCCTCCGCCTCTGTCTCCGCAGGCCCCGTGTCCCTGTCCAAGTCCAACAGCAACGCCGTCTCCGCCATCCCCATTAACAAGGACAACCTCTTCGGCGGTGTGGTAAACCCCAACGAAGTCTTCTGTTCAGTTCCGGGTCGCCTCTCGCTCCTCAGCTCCACCTCGAAGTACAAGGTCACGGTGGCGGAAGTGCAACGGCGCCTCTCACCGCCCGAGTGTCTCAACGCGTCGCTGCTGGGCGGAGTACTGCGGAGGTGAGGCCAGGCGAGGCCCAGACCCAGGCCCGGCCCCACCCGCCCCGCCCCGCGGCCGGGGACACACTGCGCCTGCGCTCGGGTGTTGGCGGCCAGGCAAACGGGCTTCGCGCCACAGCCCTCCCTTCGCGGGAAATGAAAGGGGGCGGGAAGAAGAGTGCGGAGCCCAATGGGTGAGATGTGGAGGCGGGGCCAGCCAGCGCGACGCTTGCGCCGTCCGCCGCTTCAGCCGCGCGCATGAGCTCGTGCTAGTGTGTGCGCGCGAGGGGTCGGGCGCGCGCCTGGTTTGGCCGCGGCGCGCTTTTGGGACACTTGGCACTCCGCTCTCCCCCCCCCCCAAACGCTCTGCGCGCATGCGTAGCTCACTCCTGCCGTGGGCTCAGTCCCGGCTGCTGCAGCGGCGGGGCGCCGCGCAGCCGCCTTTTCTCTTTGAGTGCACACCTTGCAAGCCCAGGAAAACTCCGGCTCCTTGCTTTTCCTGACCGGTCTGTCGGGACTCCAACAGCCACCGGCCATTCCTTGAATGGGATTGTTTTGGGGGGAGGAAAAGGCTTTGGCTAAAGGAGAGGAATCCGGTTTACTGAGCTGTGCCAGCGTGCACAGCACGTGTTCGTGCATTCAGTGCATTCGGGTTGGCATGATTTGCAGCGTCAATAAGACCTTGTTGGGCTAGCTAGGTAAACAGATTTCCCTGGAGCGAGGGCTCTCCCCCCACGGTGTGGGTTGTGAGTTTACCTTTCCCCTAAATAAGGGCAAGGACTTCAGGGTTTGGCTTTATTCATATATGTATTTATGGACCCACAGCTCCACCCCAATGAGCATAGGCCAGGAGAGTGTTTGGGAGGTTTTTAACGTCCATGATCCTCATCTCTTCCTCCTTCCCAGTCACCTTGCCTTCCCTTCCTGATCTTTACTGACACAGATCTTTGCTCTGCCCCCTGCTTTCCCTTCCCCTTCCCCCATCCCCAATATTGGAGGCTGTTTACCTAGGGGAGTATAATCTAATCCACACAATTAAAGAGCCCTTGAGTAGGGAATAAAATCTGAAATTAATTAATTTGCTGTTTCATTTAAACAATTTATCTTAACCACTTTCTGATTACGGGAGTCTATTTAGACATCTATTTAGAACTGCCTCCGTTGTCTCTGAAACCAGCGAAAAATTTAAAGGCTGATATCAGCCCTTGACATTTCCAGTTATGCTGGTGACATGGCATGTAAACACTTGGTGAAATGAATTTCCCTTTGGGGCCAAAGCCAGCACATGAAATGTGAGAGTGATGATAACTTTGGTTACTCTGAACAACCTAACAGCAGATCTTGAAAAGACAACTTAAAGACTCCATTGGGAATTTGTGTGATTGTAACAACAGGGAAAATATACAGCAATCATCTAAACTCAAGAATACCTCAAACTCTAGAGATCAGAGCTGTGTATGTTTGTTTGTGGCTCTTTTTTAGAGAGTTGGGAAATGAAATACCTTCCATCCAGCCACAATAGTGGCAGTGACAATGGAGGGATGGAAGGAGGGTTGTGCTTTATGGTTTAACAAGTATTTATCTCCATGATCTTTCTTTGGAGGTCTTGGGCCACAGTTTTCCTTCCCTCCCTCCCTCCTTCCCTCCCTCCCTCCTTCCTTCCTTCCTTCCCTCCTCCCTTCCTTCCCTCCTTCCTCCCTTCCCTCCTTCCTTCCTTCCCTCCTTCCTCCCTTCCTTCCCTCCTTCCTTCCTTCCTTCCTTTTTTTTCTTTG